GACATTTGCTGAAAACATAAAAAGCTGAAAAGAGCAGATATGTACCACAAATGTAGCAGAATGAGCTGAAATAGGTAGAAAAAGGCTAAATCATGTGTCAAACTCATGGCTCGGTGACCAAATGTGGCCCTTGTTGACATCTCATCTGGCCCTCAAGATGAGATGTCAAACTTAAAATACTTTTATCTCTTGAAATTTTTCAGTGATCTTTGATTATGATGTTGAAAGCACAACAGAGAACATGGAATGAGACCAATCAAACTCTTGTTGAGGAACCTGTGGCCAAGAAAATATGTTGGGTATCTGATTTGAGTTAATGCAGATTCTGAAATTGCTTCTTAGTTTGAAAAAAGTTTTAATTTTGGCCCCTTTTGAGTTTGACGCTCCTGGACTAAAAGGATGAGAAAAAAAGAAGAAGAAACTGAAATGAGCAGAAAAAATAAAAATAAAAACAATCAAAACCCCCAAACTTAAAAAGAAGTTTAAAAAGCTGAATTAAGCTGAACTGGGGCAGCACGGTGGCGCAGATGGTAGAACTGCCACCTCACAGAGAAGGTCACTGGTTCAAATCCCATCCGGGGCCTTTTTCAGTGAAGTTTGCATGTTCTCTCCGTGCATGTGTGGGTTTTCTCCAGTTTCCTCCCACAGACCATAAACATGCATGTTAGACTGATTGGTAACTCTAAATTGTCTCTAGGTGTGAGTGAGAGTGAATGGTTGTTTGTCTCCATGTGTCCCTGTGATGGACTGAAGACCTGTCCAGGGTGTCCCCCACTTCTCAGACAGTGGATATGGACACCAGTGACCCCCGTGTGCTGAAAAGGAAGAAGCGGGTAAAAGATAATGGTTGAATTGATGGATGGATGATGGTTGGATGGATGAATGATGGTTGGATGGATGATGGTTGGATGGATGAATGATGGTTGGATGGATGATGGTTGGATGGATGTTGGATGGATGATGGTTGGATGGCAGCTGAAATGAGCAGTAACAGGTTGTAAGCAGCTCCAAGTGTTTGAAGGATCAGGAGAGCTCCGTTCATGTTCAATGAGATAAAAACTGCTGAAAAAATAAACATTTAAAAAAGTGAACGACTGAAAGTCCTGAACCTTTTCAACGACGAAGTGTTGAAACATCACTGAAATGACTGAATGAGTTTGGTGCTGAACACCAGATGTGAATCCTTTCCAAACATTCATGATGAAGGTTTCTTGTTCATCTTCCTCCACCTTCTCTCACCTGGCTCCTCCGGCACGAGCTTGAATTTAAACTGTGAAAACCTGCAGGAATGAATGTGCAGCCTGAGCTCAGACTTCCTCTGGCTGCGTGTGCACGAGCCCAACCTGCTGTCGGACTTCCTCTGGCTGCGTGTGCACGAGCCCAACCTGCTGTCAGACTTCCTCTGGCTGCGTGTGCACGAGCCCAACCTGCTGTCGGACTTCCTCTGGCTGCATGTGCACGAGCCCAACCTGCTGTCGGATGAGCACCACTTCAAGATCAAGATGTTCTGCAGCAGATGAGTCCAGCTGACCAGAACATCTGAACCTGTCAAGGTTCTTCTTTTATCCGTGATGAAACGTTTGTAGCAGAGCTGAAGTTTCCGTGGTTTTGTTCTGCTCCTGAACACACCGTCTGACACACATTAAGCACTAAAACAAACTATAACCTGCTGTTTTGATTTTAATGACGAAAGCATCAAGCTCTACCAACACAACCAGTCACTTTACTGGATAAACAAAAACATTGACGTAATTTTCTGTAAAAAGTTTAAACTTCATTTTGCTCATGAACCTTAATTTAAAATGGTATGTTTTATTTTCATATTGATTTAATGATGTGTGAACTTGTTTAGTCAGAAGAGTCCAGAGGCTCAGCAGACCTTCAGTCGCCATCGTTCCTTCAATTAATGAACATTTGCCACTCGTACAGTTTTGGGCCAAGATCAGCTACGTTGAGTTGTAGCCACTTTCATCAAACCATTAAAAACTGCTCAGTCCTGTGGAAGTTGGTTCCACAAGAGAGGAGCCTGATAACTGAAAGATCTTCCTCCCATTCTGCTTTTGGAAACTCCAGTAAAGACTCTGGCAGCAGTATTTTGGATCAACTGAAGACGTTTTAAAGAAGTTTTTGGACACCCAGATAAACCATTGCAATAGTCCAGTTTAGACGTGACAAATGCCAGTAAACCAGTAAACTCAATTATGAGTCTAGAACCTGAACATCTTTGGTCCAGTATCAAACTGAATATTTAGAGTTACTGTGCATCTACAAAAGCAGCCAGTTTCAAAATAAAACTAAAGACAACAAACCTACAGTCCTGATACAAGACTAAAGTAACCCTGCTCTCAAGCTCTGACAACCACAGAGTCTTTAGGTTTACACCAGAGTCCACTTCTGAACTTTATGTTAAAATGTGTGTTCTAACGTTTGACAAAAGATCAAAGCAGCCCAGAGACAGTAATTGTGAAACTCTTCTAGCAGCTTCTGCCTGTAAGCCACCATTACACAACACTTGTGATGCAATTACAGGTTTCTATAGTTTTATACTAAACATCTTGGAGGTGTCCAACTTTGTCACATGTCGGACTCACGGTTGTGTCCAGCGCTGCAGTCCATTCAGGGTGGTGCTGCCCTCTGCTGGACAGAAGCTGCACTGTCCGGACAATCCTGTCACGTGGAGGCGGAAGTGTCTCAATATTCAAATTAAAATGGATTCAATGTCTTTTCATTTTCAAAATAAAGATGCACGTTTTGACTCATAAATAAAATTAAAAATAAATCATCCAAACTGTTTTAATTTTATTCTCAAAAGACTGATTAATTTGTAAATTAATTAAAATGATAAATAAAATGTTTAAGATTTAATAAAATAAAAAAAAACTATATATATATATATATATATATATATGTATATATATATATATATGTACAGGTCCTTCTAAAAAAATTAGCATATTGTGATAAAGGTCATTATTTTCCATAATGTAATGATAAAAATGAAACTTTCATATATTTCAGATTCATTGCACACCAACTGAAATATTTCAGGTCTTTAATTGTTTTAATACTGATGATTATGGCATACAGCTCATGAAAACCCAAAATGCCTGTCCCAAAAAATTAGCATATTTCATCCCACCAATGAAAGACAAGTGTTTTTAATACAAAAAGCACCAACCTTCAAATAATCATGTTCAGTTATGCACTCAATACTTGTTCGGGAATCCTTTTGCATGAATGACTGCTTCAATGCGGCGTGGCATGGAGGCAATCAGCCTGTGGCACTGCTGAGGTGTTATGGAGGCCCAGGATGCTTCGATAGCGGCCTTAAGCTCATCCAGAGTGTTGGGTCTTGCGTCTCTCAACTTTCTCTTCACAATATCCCACAGGTTCTCTATGGGGTTCAGGTCAGGAGAGTTGGCAGGCCAATTGAGCACAGTAATACCATGGTCAGTAAACCATTTACCAGTGGTTTTGGCACTGTGAGCAGGTGCCAGGTCGTGCTGAAAAATGAAATCTTCATCTCCATAAACTTTTCAGCAGATGGAAGCATGAAGTGCTCCAAAATCTCCTGACAGCTAGCTGCATTGACCCTGCGCTTGATAAAACACAGTGGACCAACACCAGCAGCTGGCATGGCACCCCAGTGACTGTGGAAACTTGACACTGGACCTCAAGCAATGTGAATTCTGTGTCTCCTCTCTTCCTCCAGACTCTGGGACCTTGATTTCCAAAGGAAATGCAAAATTTACTGTAATCAGAGAACATAACTTTGGACCACTCAGCAGCAGTCCCAGGCGAGATGCTTCTGACGCAGTCTCTTGTTCAAGAGTGGCTTGACCTGGGGAATGCAGCACCTGGAGCCCATTTCCTGCACACGCCTGTGCACGGTGGATCTGGATGTTTCTGCTCCAGACTCAGTCCACTGCTTCCGCAGGTCCCCCAAGGTCTGGAATCGGCCCTTCTCCACAATCCTCCTCAGGGTCCGGTCACCTCTTCTCATTGTGCAGCGTTTTCTGCCACACTTTTCCCTTCCCACAGACTTCCCACTGAGGTGCCTTGATACAGCACTCTGGGAACAGCCTATTCGTTCAGCAATTTCTTTCTGTGTCTTACCCTCTTGCTTGAGGGTGTCAATGATGGCCTTCTGGACAGCAGTCAGGTCGGCAGTCTTACCCATGATTGCAGTTTTGAGTAATGAACAAGGCTGGGAGTTTTTAAAAGCCTCAGGAATCTTTTGCAGGTGTTTAGAGTTACGTCGTTGATTCAGATGGTTAGGTTAATAGTTTGTTTAGAGAACCTTTTCATGATATGCTAATTTTTTGAGACAGACATTTTGGGTTTTCATGAGCTGTATGCCATAATCATCAGTATTAAAACAATTAAAGACCTGAAATATTTCAGTTGGTGTGCAATGAATCTGAAATATATGAAAGTTTTATTTTTATCATTACATTATGGAAAATAATGACCTTTATCACAATATGCTAATTTTTTTAGAAGGACCTGTATATATATATATATGCACAAATATAGTTTGAATAGAGTTTTTTTGGGCTGTTAAGCAAATGTCCTCAGTTTCCAACAAGTTGATGTAAAAACACTATTCCTCTTATGACCAGTCATGAGCTCACTCGACTACAAAAGTTTAAGTTGATGCAACCATCACTCAAAGATTAAACATCTCACATTTCAATTTCCACAAGAGACCTAAACAATGATACACGAGGAAACACTGGACGCCTTAAAGTAAATCAACGGCATCTTTTAAAGTACAACAGATGAATTCTGAGACCACCAGACATCTGAAACTTGTTGACTCCACAACTAACAACTTTTTTTTTTTTTTTAGGCTAAACCATCTATAAACGGCAAAGCCCCCATAACTCCATGTTTCAAATACTTTATGTTTGAGCTTAAAGCACATTAAAATGTGAGAGCCAAGAAGATCCATCCTTTCTGGAACATGTTTACAGAGCTGGTAGAAAATAAACACAGACTCATCTTAATACTCCAATTTATTTCAAACCATCTGAATGTGGGCTGTAGTCCGCCGATCACACTGACGCTCCTCAGCTTCAGCAGAACCCTGGAAAAAACAAACAATCATCTTAGTGTAAAGAAATACACCAGACAACTTCCAAGATTTGTTGTTTACAGGAAAACAACCATTACAGCAGCTGTTCAGATTGTAGGAGGCTCCATGAAGTTCCTGCACATTTGATTTTATGTTTACTTACACATTACACGTGAAATCACTGAAAACTTGTGATGAAGTCAAAAGACTGACTTTAAATAAAATGCTTGCATCATATTTTACAACTATGATGCCAACATCATCTGTGAGTTTATAAAGAGAACTAAATGTGACATTACACCTACAAGAGCCTTGAAAATATCTTCAGTACCTCAAACTTCACATTTTGTTGCGTTACAACCACAAACCTTCAAGTATTTGACAGATTTTGTGTATTAGACAAACACAAAGTAACAAGTGTGAAGTGGAAGGAAAAGGGACACATTTTAAACATTTTTGAAACAAATAAAAATCTTTAGTGTCGCGTTCATTTTGAATCTAGAACTGATGTCACAAGTTTATTTAGTGAACAAAGTCCAGCTGTGTTTAAGGTCAAGAAACGCAGCAGCCAGATCAAGGATAGTTTATAAAAAGTTTAGAGCGGAGCCAGAATATTCAACACCACCTCAGAGTTCTGCTCAGTCATGTGAAAGTAGAAAAACTGACAGCACGGAGCTTTAAGACACGATGTCCTCAAACCTGACAGGTGCAACAAGGAGAGCATTAATCTGAGAAGCAGCCCCATGGGAACTGTAGAGGACCTGCAGAAATCCACAGCTCGTGGGGGGTGGGACCTGTCCACTGCACAACTGTTAGTTGTGCTCCACACATCTGGCCTTTAAAGAAGAGTGACAAGAAGCTGAAGACGTCCTGTCTGCAGTTTGACTCGCAGCGAACACGCAGAGGAAGGAGCTCTGCTCAGAGCTGAAGTTTGTGACCTCAGTGTAAAACCCTGAGGAATAAACGATGCTTCAGCAGGGACAGGGAATCTGGTCAGAGATGACGGGAAGATGAACGGAGTTAAATTCAGGACAATCCTGAAAGAAAAGCAGAAGACTTCAGACTGAGGGGAGGGTCACCTCCCTGTGGGACGACCTGAAACATCCAGCAGAGCTGCAGCGTCAAAACTAAACTAGCGTAAATCTAAACGAGAATCTGTGCCAAGACTTGAACCCAGAGCTCAGAGAAGATCTCCGTCCAGTCCTGACGTTTTGTTTAAACTAAGAACGGGAAAACATTTTAGCCTCTAGATGTGAACTGTTAGATGAAGACGGTTCTACAAAGTGTCGACTCAGGGAAACTGAATACAAAAGCACACCACCGATTCTTATTTGGAATTAATTTTTTTAAACATCAGTTCTCTTCATTTCTGCACTACTCTGTGTGGTTTAGTCCCACTGAATCCCAGTAGAAGAATATAAATATTGTGGTTGTAACATGACAAAGTGTGAATAAGTTCCCGGGGCATGAATCCTTCTCAAGGCCCCGTGATTTACGTTCCATGAAGATGGAGTAGAAGAGCTCAATGTTTCGCTCCTCACCTATCGCAGCCTCCTGGCCTCTCTTTCAGACTCCAGAAGAGTCAGAACGTCTCCTTCTCTGACTGGACCCTTCACATTTCTGATGATGGAGCGATTGCTGTCGTCCATGAACTCAACACGCACCTACAGGTGAAGAACACAAACATTTTTTTTATTAATTTGAACTTTGCCCTCACTCAACACGTCACAGGGTCAACTACTCAAGATACAAGCAGCTGTGATGTTGACTCCAGATGACATGTCACTTATTTTACCTAGTTTCTTATAGAAAGGATTGTTTTTATATAACTGGTATACATACATTTATCTTTCATTTAGTAAGTACTGTAATCATTTGGTGTCCACACGTCAGACTGAACAGGGCTCAGTTTGTTTCTTTAAAGGATTTATTAGGTGCAGCAGGTGTTTCCATTAAATATACACCACTCATTTCTACATGGTTTGAAAGATTGACACTAAACTTTTTTATTTATTTATATAATTAATGTTCAGAATGTACTAGAATAATAATAAACCTTTATTTAACCCCACAAAATTGAGTTTGCTATGACAGACAATTATATCGTCATAACTTATCCAGTTTGCTGATTAAAAATGTACTGGTGACAAATTATACTCGTTGATTCTTGGAATAAGTAGGAAAACTAACAGTAAGTTGTTGAAAAAGGTTCACTCAACTTTTGCCTTGTGTCAGGGAATATAATTAGGTTTGTTTTCATTAATAGCAATACATTTAAACACTTGAATATACATGTAAATACAGTACATAAATATATTCATAAACCTAACATGGCGTCTCAAAGAACTGACTTTACTGAAACTTATTTTCAAGAGTTGTGCCAAAAATGCAAGCGTTGCCCCGGGTGCACGTGATTCACTGCGTGGGCTGCTTTACTTACTGTTTTCATCATCATCATCATCACGAAAAGTCATTTCTATACCCAAGATTTTAGCAGAAGGAAGTCTTCAATCATTCAATTTCATTATTCAGTTGCATCGCAATATGGTTCAAAATACAAACAAGCTAAACATTTTTCATATCACTAAAATTATGTAGAACTGAAATCAGCTAATATTTATGAGAAACTACAAACAACTAAACAGAGGAAAAAATTAAGGGCTTTGGAAGACAAATTCAAAGAGACATCTTTGCTATAATTTGGGGCATAGACATGTCCGAAAGGTAAGATTATTTTGTATTTGTATTACTGGGCAGATAATAGAACCACTGGTTTGAAAGAATACCTGTGTACATTGTCCCTGTGAACCAGTTCGACCGAGCACCTTGGTGACCTTAACACACAAAAGCGAGGGTTACAACACTACAGAGCTCATTTCAATTACACATTTCCTGATAAAAGCGCGAAAACAAAATTATTAAAAAAAAACAAGGCAGAAGATCGCTGCTAACAAAGTGTAGCTGGCATCATGGCCGCCGCGTCTCCATGAAAGGAGCGAGAGCGGAGACGCTTTAAAGGATAAAAACGTAAAGTTAGCTTTTCAAATTATGAACTATTTAAAACAATACGCATTACTGTAGCAGTATATACAAACATAAACGATTTATGGGTGAATCTAAACTGTTTTCTTACTCTTGCAAGCTTGATCGGCTGCACGCGGCTGGCGTCCATGTTGTCAGATAACACCGGAAAGGAAGTGACGTAGTGCGCATCCGGAATATAAGGCAACGGTAATGTTGACGCCAAACTCAATTTGTTAATTTTACTTAGATATAAATTAAAATATAAGCCGTAATATGTAATATTAATAAGTGAAGACAACGCTGAAACAAATGTGTACGTTTTTAAAACTACGATTTCCTGTTCCGGTGGACTGGGAAATACCACTTACCGAGCTGACGTGGGGGAAACCTGGAAGAGACCAACTCAGTTTGTGTGAGTGATTGCTATAAAATGTATGCGCTGTGTAGACAGTTTGTGGTGTTGGGTTTGTTTATTTTTTATTTTATACACATATTTAAATACTTTTTACAATGTTCGGTCAATGCAAATCTTGTTGTTTGTAATCATTTTATATTCAGCAGGTCTCATTAAATAATAAGTTCATGATTTTTCATTAATCTTTCAAACAATCAAAACCTTAAATGTCCGGTTTCATTTTCAGCTTCACTAGGATGTTTATTATAAAGAAGTGAGAGGATAATACACACCAAAGACTGTTTAAAATATAAAAAACTTGACAAAACAGAAGAAACTATCATTTATTGAAGTTACTTGCTGTCTGGTATGACAACGTTTTGAACAAACATCTTGTACAATCTGAAGTACCTTTGTGTTGTGGATGACTCTCAGCTACTCCCACATCATTCTCCTAAGTTTTAAGGTGACATTTAAAAACTTTATGTTATGTTGTGTTGAAACAAAAACTGTCCCACTGCTTTTCCTTCGCAGTCATTCTCCAATGCAAGAGTTGGGTGTTTGATTCCACCTTCAGTCACATGCTGAAGTGCCTCTGGGCAAGACATTGAACCCCTCATTGCCTCTGATGTTTGTCCCATCGGTGTCTGAATGTGACAAAGCTCTGATTATTCTTTGTACAGATCTAGTAGAGTGCTGTATGAATGGGTAAATGAGGACACACATTGTAACGTAAAGCACTTTGTATCTTGATAAGATAGAAAGGTGCTATATAAGTACAGTACATTTATCATTTATTTTGATTTTTCCATGTTTTTTTGGGGGGAGTATAGCCATTGCATACTTTGTGCTGTTTTAACCATCCATGCTAAAATGTTCAGCTCATTCAGAAGATGGGTGCCTGTTTTATTATCATTATTTTTTGGTAATTGCTAATTAAAAACAGCAACTTTGTTTACAACTATTTTTCTCATAGAAAATTTTTAAGGCTCTTCAGTTTCTTCAAAATATATTTTTGAAACCTGCCTTCAACATATCTAAAAAAGTCAAATCTGGTCCTCTGGACATAAAAAAAAAAACATTAAAAAAATTGTAGATCTTGAATTTGAATGTCCAGAGGTCCAGATTTAACATTTTTAGATTTTTCTACCTGGATTATTGAGCATGCATCAGGATACTGCTTCAACATAGTTGCTCAATTTTGGTTTCAGCTACCGTTTAGCTACCGTTCGATTAGCTAAGTTTTGCTAGTTTTAGCTTTTAGCCTTTTTCAATTTTTGAAAACTTTTGTGTCTTTTTGGTTCACTTAACTTTTAGCAAGCATTTAACTTTTCTGATTAGTGTGTTGTTAATTTGAGCTTTTAGTTAGCATTTTCCTACTTTTAGCTTTAACAAGCTCTTTGCTATAACTTCTAGCTAGTGTTCTTTTAGCTTTAACAACAGTTTCAGCTCCTTCAGCAAATGTCATGAGTCAGTCAACACTCAGCATTCATTCCACATTTTCACAGAAAATACAGTTCCTCCAGTTTGGTCGTATTATTAGTTTGAACCTTCTGTTAGCTGTGTAACAATGTCATCACATCACCATCTCTGCCTTTCCTGCTCTCTGAGAAGTTAAAGCCTTAAATCGCTCCACTAATCCCAGTGAACAGTATTTTTAACTTGCGCTGGGACAGAAAGAACATCAATAGGATTAGAGAATCAGAGAAGGAACTGAATCTTGAACTCACAGCTAATCTTTATGCACCCTGACTGAAAAGCTCGCTATCACTTTACCTTTATTTCAAACACTGGACAATATGTATTTATTTATTTTTCCAGGGAAGTGGTTAGCAAATGGAATTCTTCAGGAATAACTTTGTTCTTGTTCTTGACCCCTGATTGGAACCAAGCTTGGCACCAAACCTTTCTGCTCGTTGGTCTGCTGAAGAGCTGGCACCATGGCGAGCTTAAAGCCCAAGTTGAAAATTCTGAAAAAGCGTCGCTCCAGCCTTTTTGCGAGCATAAAACGAGACATAAGCCTTTCCCAGAGCATCGAAGAGGAAGAGTGTGAATTTCCTTTTTCACAGGACAGCTCAATTAAACCATGGACTTCAATGGACAACCTTGACACCCCTGCTGAGAAGAAAAATCAGCTCAAAGACGCGCCAAACCCGAGGAGATCAAACATTGTCAACCTGAATGTGGGTGGAAAGGTATTTCACATCCCCAGGCATCTCGCACTCAGATACCCAAAAACCAGAATTGGAGTCCTTGCCATGTGCGATGATCCCGTTAAGCGTCAGACGCTCTGTGACGACTATAATGTTCAGAACAACGAGTTCTTCTTTGACAGGGACCCCATGTTTTTCCACTACATATTTCACTTCTACTGCAGCAGTGTCCTTTGGGTGATGGACAGCCTCTGTTCTATCAGCTTTGAGGAAGAGATGTCATTCTGGGGGCTCAGACTGAAGGACACTCCAAGGTATGCTGCTTAGATTGTACCACGAACTGTTATGGTCTACTGCTGAATGCAGAGGAAGAGCAAATTGTTGTTTGAGTTTGTGTGTGTTCATTTTCTGTATTGTTAGCAATCACTGAATTGCTGATAGAATTATAAATAGATATAGACAGTATTATAGTGAAAATGTAAAAGGTAATCATTGGATTCACATCTACATCTGAAAGTATGCAATTAACTGGAGTCAATTTGATTCAAGATGGGTTCCAGAGGAAAGCAATCTAGAAACAAATGGTACACCAATGTCTCCCGGCGTTGAGGGGTTTGGATAGTGAATGTTTGTAGTTTTATTTATTTATGTATTTCTTCTGCTTGTCTGAGGCTGTGCAGAGTGACAGATCCTGGCAAGTGGTGAGAGAAATGTTCAATTCCACCATTGCCAGGGGGTGGCCTTAGCTACCATTGATTAGCTTAGATTAATCTTTGGCTAACCCAGCCCTTTGAGGAAACTATATTTTAAAGCAATATAAAAACTAGAAAGCATAGTTTCCTCAAATGAAAGTGTGGCCAGTTTACATACATATATTTAGCGGTACATATATGTGGTAGTGGCCGTCTTGGATTTTGACTTAACAACACCAGTTTTGATAGGGACCTTTTTTACACGTAGCCACACACCAAAATGGAAGTCACCATGTTGGGTTTTTTCTATTTATTCAACTCACAAGTTTTACCAGTATACATATATGGTGGCAGCCATCTTGGAGTTTGACGTGACATTTCATCTACAACTGATCAACTTTTGGTGTTCAAGATTCAAGATGACCATAACAATCATTCATTCAACCTTTATTTAGACAGGTTAATCCCACTGAGCCTCGGGGACTCATTTACAAGAGAGACCTGAATTTTAACAAAGAACGATGACAACAGTGAGTAACAACGACGGCAATATACAGTCACAAAAGAGGCCTACAATTTTTTTTTTAAACAAATCAAAACAAAATAGCAACCAAAAGGACAGTCAAAAGGAAAAGTAGTGAAAAAAAAAAAAAAAAAAGCTAGATTATAAGATGATGTAGAAAACTAAAAACAGGAACATGTCTGCATTGGTTCTTGCCAAGAACTTAACAGATGTTTGAAGTCACTTAGAGAGGTCAAGGTCGAGAGCTTCAGATCTTTTTGTAAGATATTCCAGGAAACAGGAGCGGAATAGGAGAAGGCTCTTTTACCTAGTTCAGTCCTCCTCACTGAGGGAACACTGCAGGTAATAATGTCCTGAGAGCGCACGCTGTAGCTGCACTCACATAGAGACATGTAGGAGGAGATGTATGAAGGCAGCAGACCAAGAAGTGATTTAAAGATGAAAATGTTCCAGTGAGAGAGTCTGCATTAAGTTAAAGATGACCAGTTAACCAGTGAATACAGGATGCAATGATGGGTACGGTAGTTACAGCAAGTTATGAATCTTAGTGCACCGTGATAGACAGCATCCAACATCTGCAGGTTCTTGTAGGAACGTTCATATAGATAATGTCACTGTAATCAATGGAGGAAAGGAAAGTCACAGTAACAATGCCTAGCATAAACAAAAATGACCATACCTCAATGAAATTTACAGATACTGAATTAAAATTTGGTGTGTCAGTAGCTGAGTCTTTCCCAGCACATATTCAAAGCGGTAGCATATTTACACAAGATATTGCATGAGCTCTTGCATATTGTTATTTTCAAGACTTGACCAGAAAGGACAGAACGGTCAGTTTTTAGAATAATCTGACCTTAGTCTAAATCTCTTGCAGTGAAGGTAGTGGACGGTGTTCATTCCTGCAAAGAATGCTAGGCCTTTGGTTTGTGCATATTAAGCATGGGTCAGATAAGCATAAATATGTTCCATCCATCCATCCATTATCTTTACCCGTTTATTCCAGTTTTGGGTCACGGGGGTCGCTGGTGCCCATGTCCAGCAATCACTGTGCGAGGGGCGGGGTACACCCTGGACGGGTCGCAAGTCCATCACAGGGCCACATAGAGACACACGAGACAAACAACCATTCTCTCTCTCACTCACACCTAGGGACAATTTAGAGTTACCAATCAGCCTAACATGCATGTTTTTGGTCTGTGGGAGGAAACCGGAGTACCCGGAGAAAACCCACGCATGCACGGAGAGAACATGCAAACTCCACCCAGAAAGGCCCCTGGACCGGGGTTTGAACCAAGGACCTGCTCGCTGAGAGGCAGCAGCTCTACCAGTTGCGCCACCGTGCTGCCCTGCATAAATATGTTGATATATATATTTTTTTGTTCTAGGTGCTGTCGCATTTTGTTTGAAGAAAAAGTGGATGACATTCGAGAACAGCTGAAGGTTAACCAGGAGCTGCTTGATGAGATTAAACCTCACCAGGATGACGAAGGCTACAAAACCATGTTTCTCGGGGACTTTCGAAGGGCCCTTTGGAACTTGATGGAGAACCCTTACTCATCTCTGGCAGCCAAATCGTTCGCTGTATTCTCTAGTCTTTTTGTTCTTATCTCCATAGTTGCCATGACAATGAATACGGTCAGTGAACTCCGGCAGTACAACGCTTCAGGCAAAACCTATATGGAGTGGGTGGAGGTCGCTTCAATCTTGTTCTTCACGCTAGAATACTTTTTGCGGCTTGCCACCACGTCTAACATCAAACATTTTGTGAAAAGTGCTCTGAACTTTGTTGATGTGGTGGCTGTTATGCCATACTTCATCCAGATCATCTTTGAAACGTTTGTTATAGATAGTGAAGATGCCAATGCACAGGAAGACCTGAAGGCCATGTCCAGGGTCAGTAAAGTCAGCAAAGTGCTCAAAGTCATCAAGCTGATGCGGATCTTCCGTATCCTAAAACTCGCCCGTCACTCCACAGGCATGAGGGCATTTGGATTCACCATTCGCCAGTGTTCTGAACAGGTATCAAACCCCCCCCCCCCCTTCCCCCCCCCACACACACCTAAACAATGTGTTTAATTGTATTTATTGTTTAATGCTTAAGAGCTCATTTGGCACCATTACGTGAGTAGGTGGAACTTTGGCTTCAATGTGGCACGACCTATAAACAGGACAGTTTGGTTTCTTCTGTACAATGGAAGTAGACAAAACGGTTTCATCCATCTTTATCAACACAACCCAGTTCAGGATGGCTGTCGAATCCAATCGACCTCACAGAAACTCCAAATGGTCACAGCTCAGAATAATTTTACATGTTGTGACCTAAAATTTGCCACAGTCTTAGCAGTGAATAATCTTCCCAACACTTAAATGGAATGCAACACACTGGGTTGTATCTTTGCCTAAAGCCTTGACATAAACTGTTGTTGGTTAGCAAAATAATAACTGGATGAAATTTATGAAACATTATGAAACTATTTATTGACTGTACAACTACAGTTGGGATTGGCACACTGGGGTGGTGGTTCCCCTCTTCAAAATGGGGGACTGGAGGGTGTGCTCCAATTACAGGTGCATCACTCTCCCTTGCCTCCCTGATAAGGTCTGTTCAGGGGTACTGGAGAAAAGAGTCCAATCGTTGGTCGAACCTCAGATCCAAGAGGAACAATGTGGGTTTCGTCCTGGCTGTGGAACACTGGATCAACTCTTTACCCTCATTAGAGTCCTCAAGATATAATGGGAGTTTGCCCATCCAGTCTACATATGTTTTGTGGACTTGGAGAAGCCTTTCGATCGTGTTCCTTGAGGTACACTGTCGGGGGTGCTCCGTGAGTATGGAATTGGTGGTGGTGGTGGTGGGGGGCTTGTTTTTATGGGCTGTTCAGTCCCTTTACAAGCGGTGCAAGAGTTTGGTTTGCTTTGCCGGTAGTAAGTCGGACCCCTTCAGGGTGGGAGTTGGACTCCACCAGGGCTGCTCGTTGTCACCGATTCTCATAACTTTTATGGACAGAATTTCTAGGTGCAGCCAGGGGGAGGAGGAAGTCCTGTTTGGTGGCCTCAGGATTCCATCTCTGCTCTTTGCAGATGATGTGGTCCTGTTGGTGTCATTGTGCCGTGATCTTCAGCTCTCACTAGAGCAGTTTGCAGCCGAGTGTGAAGCAGCTGGGATGAGAATCAGCACCTCCAAATCTGAGGCCGTGGTCTTCAGATGGAAACGGGTGGATTGCTCTTTTTGGGTTGAAGGTGAGGTTCTGCCTCAAGTGGAGGAGTCCAAGTATCTCAGGGTTTTGTTTATGAGTGAGGGAAGAATGGAGCATGAGATTGACAAATGGACTGGTGCAGTGTCTGCAGTATTGTGGACTCTGTACCGGTCCATTGTGGTGAAGAGGGAGCTGAGCTGTAAGGCAAAATTCATTGTTTACCAGTCGGTCTACGTTCCTACCCTCACCTATGGTCATGAACTCTGGGCAGTGACTGAAAGAATAAGAATTTGGATACAGTCGGTTGAAATGAGTTTCCTCTGCAGGGTAGCTGGTAGTAGCTGGACTTTCCCTTAGAGATGGGGTGAGAAGTTCAGTTATCCAGGAGAGACTCAGAGTAGAACCACTGTCCCCACATATTGAGAGGAGCCAGTTGAGGTGGTTTGTGCATTTGTTAAGGATCTTTCATGGGTGCCTCCCTAGGGAGATGCTTCAGGCATGTACGACTGGGAGGAGACCTTGGGGAAGACCCAGGACACACTGGAAAGACTATGTCTCTGGGTTGGTCTGGGAATGCCTTGGAATCCTCCCAGAAGAGCTGGAAGAGGTGCTGTGGAAAGAGATGACTGGACCTCCCTGCTCAAGCTGCTGCCCCCATGATCCAACTTTAGAACAAGTAGAAGATAACGGATGGATGGATTCAATTAAATTCAATTGAATTAAAAAATATTTTATTAATCCCAAAGGGAAATTAAATGTTGTTGTAACTTGTTATCCTAGTTTCATTAAGATATGTTATAGATACTTGTGGCTATAGGCAGGAAGGATCTCTTGTAAAGGTCTGTCTCACAGTAGAACTGAAGAAATGGATGGAATTATAGGTGGATAACCTTTGGAGCCAACTCAAATTTAAGATGGCTGCCATAACTAATTGATCTTACCCTGCACACATATGGCTAAATCTTATTGAATTTTATATATACGAAGTTAAACTTTGGCTTTGTAGTAGCTGAGAGTCATTGACAGAACATACTCCAAGCGCTAACAGATCATGAGAGATATTGCAATATCACATTCAATTAAGTTCAGTTCAGTTTATTTTTATTCAGTTAACCTTTATTTATACAGGCTAGCCTCAATGAGGTACAGGGACTCATTTGCATGAGGGACCTGTTCCAGACAGAACATATAGACAAAAAAGTACCGGCAGTAGAAAATGATAACAATAAACTACAGTAAAAATGCAGTTAAAATAAGAGAAGTGTAAAAAACACATACACACACACACACACACACACACACACACACATATATATA